ATGAAGGTGGGGAGGATGTGCCCGGCAAAGAAGATTCTGGAGTAGCAACTGGAGAAGTTACCAGCTGAGGAGGAACCATCGTAGGAGTCACTTGGGGGGCATCAACTAGAGAAGTCACCAGCTGAGGAGGAACCATCGTAGGAGTCACTTGGGGGGCATCATCCATCCTTGCCACTTTTGAAGAGGGAGGGCTCCTACTAGAGAAACGGGACACCACCACCCTCTTACTTGCTGCAAGAGCAGAGAAGTGTCAGGTAAATGAAAAATACCGAGGGAAGAAGAGAATTAAAAGAGGAAACTAGCTCACCCCTTTTCTTCGAAGAGGAACCATCGGATTTCTTAGAGGGAACAACGACCCTAGTATCCTTGGGCAGGAGAGCTCCCAAATCTTTGCAAGGGCAAGCCTTGACAACCTTCAACTTCCACTCCTGGTCTCGAGAAAGCACAAGCGTGTCTGCATGGGAATGGTGAGCATACATGTATACATATATATATAAAAAAATGTGCAGCGTATCGGGTCTTCTAGCAGCACCCCAATGTGTTGGTACCAAAGCTCTATCGACTTCTGTAGCTCACTCCCCACCAACAAAGAAAAAGCAAGATTTCCAGCCGCCACAATTAGAGCGCGTTCCCGTAAGCACTGTACCACTTCTTGTGGTAAAGTAGTACCACCCCCTATTTGGTGCAGGGGTTTTGCTCAAATTGTATGCTGCATGGAACTCCATAGGAGAGGCATCCTCATGGTGCACTTTTCTCCACAATGCAAGAAAGCCCAACAGAACTCTCCAATCATTGGGCGCTAGTCGCCCCGGAGTCAAAGAAAAATAGTGCAAAACACGACAAATGGGAGAGGACATGGGGAATCTTAACCTAGCCTCAAGCATCTCCTCGTAAATAATAATATCACCAGAAGAGTCATCGCAAGCAAGCTCGCCCAACTCAGCCCGAAGGCACAGTACGGTCGGAGAAATGCGATAAGTAAAAACAAGCCTCGAGATATCTTTATCTAAATGAAACAGACTAAAAAGGATACTCACTTTAGACCCGTCATCATTGAGTCCCACTTTGCCTTTACATTTCTTCTTCCGGGGCCGTAAGGAGTAGTCTTGAGGAACTTGACTCGGAGGAGTCACAATAGGGTCTTGATCATCAAAAGCAGCACTCAAAGCTTCCTTATTGCTTGCAATGTCTATCCCAACCCTCGGAGGGGTGTCTTTCCGCTTTTGCTCGCCGAAACGAAGTTGCCCAGTAGCTGGAAGTGTGCCTAACCCTTCAAAATTGCACAAAGCAGAATTTTCGGCACCAAAATCAGCGCCTATGATGCCCGAATCAGCTCCTGGAGTGGCGCTCGAACCTGCCCATGCACCCAGGCTGCTGCCCAGCTCCTGTACTGCACTCCTGCTGGCCTGGACAGCTCCTTCTCCAGCTTGCACAGCGTTGTCCTGCCCACCAAGCGTTACGCGCGCAATGCCCAGTCCGCCAGACTGCGCGCGCGCGCTGCTCAGTCGCGCGTTTGCGCTGTCCAGACGATTCAGGCTGCTGTCCAACTCCTGTACTGCAATCCTGCAAGTCTGGACAGCTCCTTCTCCAGCCTGCACAGCACTGTCCAGCCCACCAAGCGTCACGCGCGCGCTGCCTAGTCTGCCAAACTGCGCGCGCACGCTGCCCAGTCGCAGGTTTGCGGGCACTGTCTAGACCTCCTTGTGAGCTATCCAGACCTCCTTATGAGCTGTCCAGACGTCCTTGTGCGCTGCCCAGATTGCCTCCCTGCGCGCTAGTTCGCGCGAAAGTGTTGTCCAACGGAGAGGTTTGCGAACCCAAGCTGTCCAACCCACCACTTTCGGCACCCAAGCTGTCCAGTCCACCATTTTCGGCACCAAGGCTGTCCAGGACAGCACCCGAATACTCAAAACCAGCTTCCAAGCTTCCTAAAATGGTGCCTACCTCCTCCCTTTCTTCAATCTCTAGCACTCTCTCTTCAATCGACATTGCCTACTTGAGAAACTCTACTAAAAAGGAAGAAATCTTACTCTTAGAAGGATTCAAGGAGAACACACTTTAGTTTCAACAAAATGGGTAAGACTTGTGTTCTCAAGGTTTTTAAGAAGTGAGTGCTCAACCTTAAAAGTGAGTGAAATGGGTAGCATGAAGAAGAAGACTATATTTATAGTCTAAGATTTTTTCAAAAGAAGGAAAAAGCCCAAATTGAAAATTATGGGCCCTCTTCAAAATAAAGTGGAAAAAACTTGACGTTTGCACTATAAAAAAAAAAAAAGAAAAATACAATTGAAGAGTCAATGCCTCCTTCTCCAAGTTTTACTTGAACACGGGGCATTGGGGGGCAAATGATGGGTCAAGCCCAAATAGTCCAATTTATGTGAGAAGTCCAAACTCAAATAAGGAGCCCAACCTCATGAAAAATCCACCAAGCCTAATATAGTCCAAGACCAATTAAACTCTTTGCTTAGCCACGCCATCAAGGGGGGAGAGCATGGGAAGTTCTATCTGCACCACCAAAGGAAACAGTCCACTCTCACGTCATCTTTGACCGCATCTCATGGAGAGCTCCCCAACCTCCTCGCCTTTTGAGAAGAAATCGTGAGCTCCACCAGAATAATCTTTTAGTTGCTGTAAAGTAACCCCAATCTGTTAAGATGACTACTATAAATTGCACGCCCCATCAACACTTGGGAAAGAGGAGACTGATTGCCTGACATCACATCTTCCTTGATTCTCCCTCAAAGCTCATATTCTCTGTTCTCCATACCCTTAAATTAATAAAATACCCGGCAACTAGAGCCATTTAAGAGTGGACGTAGGTCGAGTTGACCGAACCACTATAAATCTTGTCTCCTCCAATTTTCTCATTACTTTCACTGCATTTATTACTTACATTTGACAGGTGGTGTGTAAAATCATTTTTGTGCATCATCAATAAATAATGACTACCTTCCACAATGCCAACATAACTCAGTTTATGGATTAAATTATAATATAGAAAAATAATTTTTTGATATTACATTATTTTTAAATTCATCAAAATATCACTCATGGAAAGTCTTTTTTGCTCTATTTGTTAGTTTTATAATTGATGATGATAGATTTAGATCTGGGCCCCCCTTTTTCGAGTCCAAAACCAGTGGGCTTATTAAAGGCAACCCAAGCGGCCTATCTGCATGGCATTTCCATATCCTAGTTGGACTATAACCTAGATCCATGATAGTCCAGGATCGCCCAACCCAGATCAGTTCTAACAAGTTTGGCGATAAAGCGTCTGCTCAGGAGTTTGAGCTCGACTCTAGGCAAATTTGAGAAAATTCTAATCGTGCCACGTAGACAGGAGACAGAAGGAAAATGCCCGACAACTAGAGGTGTCAAATGTATCGGGTTAAACGGTTACGTATCGGATTAAACGAGTGACGGGTGAAAAACATGTGCCCGTACATGACACGTTTAATATATGAGTAAAAAATCTCAACATGAACACGATCAGTTTAATAAACAGGTAACATAACACAACTTGTTTAATATGTTTAGTTTTAAACGAGTTGAGTTGGGTCGGGTAGGGTTAACACAGTAAACCACCCGTTAGACCTATTTGCCTGTTTATTTTAAAAATGCTATATAATTTTATAAAACTAACAAACTAACACAAAAAATGTGATATTTAGAGATACCACATTATATTGCAAAGTATAAACCACAATACAAAACAACCAAATTCCACCACCATCTATGAGAAAGAACATGGTTGTCAAAGAACTTGAAGACCTATTCACATTCAACGTATGTTGAGGAATAAAACTTTATGTATATTTCTTCTTCTTTTGATGGTGAGACTTCATTGAAATCTTATAGCTAAGACTCCTAGAAAGCCATAGTGAAAGATTGTGGTTTTATTATCTTTCCTTTCTAGTTCTTCTCTTCTATTTACCGTGAAAAAAAAAACTTACATGAAATGTTTTTCCTCTTTGCTACTTATAGACATTTTTAAAATAATTATTAATTTTATTTAAACGGATAAACGGGTGATAAATGAATTGACAAGTCTCACCCGAATATGACCCGTTTATTAAATGTATATGAAGGGTTAACCCGTTTACCATCTAAACTTGTTATGGTCTCAACCAAACCCGTTTTAATTTGTGTCGGTTAATTATGCCGTGTTAGATTTTAACAAGCCTACTGACAACCCTAACGAACGAATATTCATAGATAGTGGAGATACCTCATACATTCTTATTCCAAGGGTGATGGGCATAGAAAACGTCAGGTTGGCTGGTCAGGTTGGGAGGTATAGCTAACAAGACAAATGACAAGGGAATCACATAATCAGTCACCAGAGGAAATATTGTAGAAACCCTAGTAACAAGGTGTATAAATAAAAGAAGATATCACTATATGAGAGAGAGAGAGAACAATAGAGAAAAGAATAGAAGAGAGAGACTATCAGAGACAACTTAGGAAATATATTGTAAAAGGGCTCTCTGCCAAATTACCCGTAACTACATCCTTCTTCTTGAAGTTATATTATCCTCAAGGAACAAGAGCTTCCCATTACAGTAAATGTAGCTTTAGTCTTTGACTAAAGTGAGCCACTTATATTTTTATCTTTACTACAACTTTATCCTCTTACACATCCTCTGTCATAAGTACACATGAAGTCCCATTGGACCTCGTCCCATACTATTTTGTAGTTGGGTAGATAGATTTCGAGCATCATCAATAATTAATAATCATAAAAAATTAAAATTAAAATTAGTAATAGAGTAACAAAAAATTAATTTTCGATTCTATACAACCTTATCGTCATTCATATATCATAATGATCCTTAATATATAATTTTAAGGAATAATTCAAATAATAATAAAGATCAATTATAAACTTAAACGTGATGCGTAAACTTATGATTGAACACCAAAAACAAAAGAAAAGATGATCCTAAACTTAGGATCTATGAAGTCTACCACATAAATCCTACACACACAACACCAAATCAGTATACTCCAACACTGAGTAGTACTGTTATCTAAACATTTGTTCCCTCGTCTCTGCATTTCCAACAAAGCTCTCTCTCTCCCCCCGTTTCAATGGCGATATCTGTAGCTGCCACAACAATTCACTCACTGAGTTCGGACCATGCGGCCTCCTTGTCTCCATCTTCGTCATTTTCTTCGAAGCTTTCGCACTTGTCTCCTTTGCAATTTCCTCGACAGCTTCGCCGCATTCGAATCGGAAACAGAGGGTCCACTTCTCGTTCACGCCCTGGAATCCTTCCTCTGGTGGTAACTTACTTGCTCACTCTATATACCAAATTTTTATTTTTCTTGTATATTTGGGCTTGATATTATTAAATTTGGATGCTATAGCTGTGGTTGCTCTGAATTGTTTAAGAATATTTGCGACAATCTTAACTTTTATGCCCGCCATTACATTTTTTTGGTAATTGATTTGTTTAATTTGAAATGGGAAAAAGAATATACCTCTTTGGGTTTAGTGCTCAGGGATGACTTGTTGGGTTGAGTTTTTTGGAAAGTGGTGTTTAAAATTTGAGCGAGTTAGAAGAAAGTTGAAGGATTAGTGGGTGAATTCGAACATATTTTGGTAAAAGTGAATTCCATTTGCTTTTTAGAGGATGTGAGTGATTTAAGATTTATCTATCATAGGATCGAAGGATGCAGCTTGCTCTAGGAATCGGGGAGTTGAAAATATAACCTGTGGAGAGAATTAGTGGAGCTGAGGGTTGCTCAGGGCCTAGGGTGGTGTTCCATAGAGTGGTATTTTGGAGTGCGATGCCCTGGGGATGGCGATTTTCATGGAATGACATGGTTTTATTTTGGATGACGGATTAAGAATCATGTTTTGGCATAGGGTCCCTTAAATGAAGCCGACTTGGGTAGATATGGTAGCCAGTTACCTGAATAAGGTTTAGAGTGGGGTGTTTTTGGCTGATGACAAGTCCCATTGGGATTAGACATTTCTGAGACATCACATCGGTCAAAGTTTAAAGATGGTGGTCGCATACCGGATAACAAGCAACATGTAAATAGCAAATAGCACAACTTAGAAATTTATGACTACTTTATTCGCCACATGAAGCTGTCCAACTTGCCATGATGGAAAAAATTTGAGGATTCACAAAATTCTTTGAAAATGAGGCCCAAAATGATGCTAAAAAGATCCGATTGCATAACCCTTCAACAACTTACTTTTGTCCTAAAAATTCCTTGAATTCATTTCCAACCAAGTAATAGAAGAAATTCATCTTGTATCTCTTTCAAAACTCTTGGAATCCACACTGAACATAGATGGTCGCGGGGCCACCAAATAAAGCTGTGTCAAATCAAACTATTTATTCCACAATGACGATGCATACATTGCAAAAATAAATGATACCCACCCACAATACACCCCAAGACCAAAGCCAACCTAAAAACCTTATCGTGGCTAGAGTTAAATCCAATAGTCAATGTTTAATTGATATTAATCTTGAGTCCAAAACACACCAATAATTTTCGTAGGATTCAAAAATTTATCTTCATCATTCCACGAAAAAAATGTGATACCGTGATCTTATCTCTCACAATGACAAACTGTTCCAACTAAATTTTGCCTCACTACCTCACCACCAACTTACTAAAACTATCCACTACTGGAGTGAACACAAAAGATGATAAAGGATCTATTGCCTAAGCCCCCTAAAAAAACATAAACTTATCCATTGGTTTGCAATTTAGAGTACATAAAAATTCATTGACTGCAAGCAACCTTTAACCCACTGCATCCACCTGTGAAGAGTATGTTGTGCTTTGGCTATGTAATTATTTGTAGCTTTTAGTGTCAAGTTTGTTTTTCATATTAAGGAGTAACTACTCACAGGATCTATGGGGAAGCTTTGGGACTCGAATACCCTCAAAAGGCTGCATGTTTTGTGTGAAGTATCATTGATTGTCGGTTTGGTTTTGTTGGTTGGCAATACTGTGCAAATGTTTGGTCATCTATAACTGCAAGTAAAAGGTTTAAATTGTTCCTTTCTTAGATTATGTTTTTCTCAGTGAATTAACATCGTTCGCTGCAATATTTAGGCAACAATTAACCAATGGACTTAAGAACCCAAACGTCCCTTGATATTTATCCTTGACAAACTGAAGCTAATTGCGTCCCTGATTTGGGAAGGTTGACGAAGCTTGATATTTAAAGGGCCTTTGAATAAAGTATTTTTTTACCACCCATAAGGAGTAAAGCCTGTTTGAAAGGTGAATTTGTGTTCTTAATGTAGCATATGATATCTTCTTTTAATTCTGAGCTGGGGTTAATTCTGCCAAACACCCGGAGAGAAGAATTGCATTGCTCTGTGAACATTGGAAATTCCTATTCTTCAGTGATGGGTTGGGATTGTTTGTAAAGCTGTCTGCTTACTCTCTTGTTTTGTGTTGATTTTTCTTCATTTGAAGCATTCTGCAAAGAATGCAATTGCTTAAATTGCCTGTTATTAAGAATCTAACTGCCTTTTGTTGAGCATGCAATTATCATTGCTTCTCTTTTAAGTGGCATGTAGTCATTATATGCACTGATTTTAATTTCTCATAGAAGGTAGTTTTATGGTTTTTTTGTAACCTTGATAGGGCGAGGGCCTTTATTTAATTTTAAAAATAACTAGGGGGACATAATATCTTACCCTTTAATCAGTTTTATCATGTAAAGTGAACCCATGTTTTACATAATGAAGCAGTTGTTGATTGTCACTATAATGGAACCATTAAAGTTGGGATTCATTCATACTACATTAGATACCATGTTTTGGTATGGCAGGATTGCAAGTTTCAAACTTAGGGTAAAATAATAACAGTTGATTGTGTGTTTGCTAATTAGGTTGAGGCAAAGAAGCGAACATTTTCTTCCTTAGATGATTTGCTGGCAAATTCTGACAAACCTGTCCTGGTTGACTTTTATGCAACCTGGTAAGCTGCATTCTTCTTATTTTGCTTTTATCCCTGCGCCATATTTTCTTAGAGAGGACATGGTGTCTGATATACTATATGTTGCACTATATTTAATAAGAGCTGGAATGGGTAATGACTTCATTCATACTTGTCACACTACCGAATTGTACATGAGATTTTCACCTCATATGGCTCCTCGTTCCATTATTCCAATCGTTCCATTCCTTTGAAGTAATTGGATCTTTTACGTGTTTGAGAGGATCCCCTTCATTCTTCCTTTCCATCCCAAAGAGTAACTGTGGCCTAGCTAGCCACGTTTTAATTTTCTAACAGAACATTTCAATTGTTTATGTGCATCGCATTACGGTCTTATAATAAAAAGAGGAGATCTTGCTTGATCAATTGCTTTGCCCCTTATTCTTTTTTCAAGTTTGAGTTTGCTAATTTGGAATCTGGGTACTTCAGCATCATTTGTATTTACTTATTTTATATTTGAATTTAATTTTTTTTAAAATGTCATTCCTTGAGTTCATAGGTTTGATCAGGTGGAATTTGACCCATTTTCCCATTGAGCAAAGGTTACGAAAATAAAGCAGATTGGTTTCTCTATCAAAATTATTTTGTGAAATTGTCAGTTTTTCCTTTTTTATTAATAAAGCATTTCAAATTCATGGTTCTCCTGTTTGTGAACCTTGAGTGCTTAAGGAGGAGAGTAACTTTTTCAGTTGGTAGGCTTACTGCAAAATGCATTTTCTTGAGGCATGGTGTTTCGAGATCTTCGTGTTGCTAGCCAAGTAGGTGCAAAGCGATGTTACAGTCAGAGTCGGAGAATTAACCTGAAATCTGGTTTGCAGGTGTGGTCCTTGTCAACTTATGGTCCCTATCCTCAATGAAGTTAGTGCTTCAATGAAAGATAAGATCCAGGTGGTGAAAATTGATACCGAGAAGTACCCAAGCATTGCAGATAAGTACAGAATACAGGCATTGCCAACTTTCATCATATTTAAGGATGGGAAACCCTATGATCGATTTGTAAGTGTATATCTTGTTTACTTGTAACCTGAGGAAATTAGCAGCAGAAAAATATAAACCCTGCTTCAGACAATGATGAATTAAGAAGTTGAGAGAGAGAGAGAGCTGAATTTTCCTAAGTTTCATTTAGGGGTTTTCTTTCTGTTTTAAATTTCATTTTGTTTATCATTTGTTAGGAAGGAGCTTTCTCTGCAGAGCAGCTCATCCAACTTGTTGAGACCTCACTAAAAGTAAAGCAGTAGTTTTCTGGTAAGCATTCTCTTTTTCTCCTTTCAATCACAGAAGTTCTTTTTATTGGTGTTGTCGTCGTTGGTGTTGTTGTTACTGCTGCTGTTGCGGTTCATTTTATTGGGAACACAGCATTTTGTAATGACACTTGCCTAAAATTATTTCCTTTTCCCTTTTGCAATAGTGCAGATTAGAGTGGAAACTGATATCATCAAGAATATACAAACACAATACTGGAGTTTCTATAAAAAAATTTGCATGATTCCTCCATATTCTTTCGCTGGCTGGTTCTGTGCCTCGGAAATGTGGTGAGATTTGTTGATGTTCAGATGAATTTTTGATCAAGTGGAACAAAATTTGATTTGTGAAGGTAAATAATTATCTTTTATACTTACTAAACTAATCTCTACTGTAAGACTAAATGCATGCATATCTATGAGATAAAATATAACAGATTTCAATAAGTCTATCCGATGGTTTTAAATAGACTCTCCAAACGGTTATTAACATTTTTCTTAAAATTATTATATTGCATCATGTCTTCGGGTACGGTTATTCTTAGTATGATATTAATCAAAGGAATTTACAAACTTAACAGGGATAATTTTGGTAATTTGAAACAAAATTGATGACGCAGGATTACGTGTCTTTCCAAAGTGGACCCTTAAAGACGGAAACAATTATGCTGCTTTTACCAACTTTAAGGGGTTCTTCTCGTCTTACGAAGCACGGATACTATCATATGATAAAATTTAAAAAAAAAAATATACAAATACGGTCAAGATATAACTATAAAAATTTATATTTAAATTTTTTTTTTTATTTTCAATCAGTATAATACTTATATATTTTAGTAATTTTTTAATACAATAAGAAAAATTAATAATTTTTTTTAGTTTGAAGAAAATAAATATCGTATCACTATGATATAATTTACAAAGTGAAGTGATTAATTAAAAGAATTAAAATTAATATTTATCAAGTCGGTTTATTTAGAAGTAATTTTTGTTAAGACTATAATGTAATAAATTTATTTTATGTGCTGTTAACATGTAATTATAGATAATATTTAAAAAATACTCATGTGATTTTGAAGTAGTATGAATTTTTGTAAATGTATTATATGGTATGTGAATTTGAAAGGAAATATTAAAAATTTAACTCAAAAATTATATATATTGCTTGAACACAAAAGTATCTGTATAGTATCGTAATATTTAATTATTATTAGATACGTATGAGGTATATTCGATACGTATCTTCAAATATCCGACGAGAATCGTATCCGATACGGATACACCGACCTCAGTAAAGTATCCGCGTTTCATAGATCTTATTCCATCAAGGAAATTAATAAATTAATATTTATTCAAAAAAAATTAGTCAGAATAATATATGTAGTTATTAATTAAATCGGTTAAAAAAAATGTTTAGTAATAATTTTTCAAATGATGTTTAAGTAAATTGGCGGTGGATTAAAAGGGCCCATTTGACTTTATTCAACCCGATTCGTTTATTAAACAGATTAATCGAGTCGTGTTGTGTAACCCGCTTAATAAACGAATTGTGTTTGATTTGAAAATTTTCACTCATTTATTTTAACGAGTCATGTACGGGTTTACTAATTTTTTACATAAACTTAATTAGACCTAACTCTTAATTGTTTAACCCGATATGATTGACACTTTTGTATATGATACACAACCCGGATCCAGAACCCGAACTAGGGCAGCTCCAGTTGAATTATTGCAACCAAAATTAGGCTTTGGTTGCGTTCCTTTCCAACCTCAGCCCACATGTGGAGTCACAACCAACAGTCAGCAGTCCTATGAGCATGAAAACTAAAGCTTGTTATAGTCATAAACCGAAAGCATAACAATCAACTGGGTCCACCCTGATTGATAATCCTCCATTCTCCTAATCTGTAAGGATTGATCTATCACTTCTCTCTTTTCCGTCTTTCTTTCGAATTCCTCTCTTTTCTAATGATAATACCACCTGAAAGTTTCTGAAGTCCTGACGATCTGTCTCAATCTCTTTTCAAAAACGTGACAACGCGATCATGATTGTTTATGTCACTCAGCAAACAAATAATGCAACATATTTATGTTCCTGAGATAAACCTGCTCAAGAGCATCGACTCTATCTACACACTTGTTTCATGCCCAACACCACAAATCTTCCAAAGCTGAGGCCCTACCTTATGGTATCATATCTCTAATCATTTATTGGTATTTTGTGGATATCTAGGTGTCCACACAGCCTGCAATAGAACCGAATCTATTTAGTGTGGATAGTGGATATACTATACTATTTGTCTCCACTTGATCAATCGAGATTCCTTCTAATTTGGATATAATTCCCTTTTATGGTATCCTATTGATTTTTTTTTTTTTTCAATATTAGATTGTATATCATACATGGGTCGAAGTGTTAGTCAAATTTCAATATGCCTGTTCATCATCAAATCTTTGAATTTGTGAATGAGGACTTTGTTAGGCAAGAGGACTTTGTTAAGCAAGTGATTTGCTGCTTGAAAGACGGCAGGCATCTTCCGAGTCAGTTTCAATAATTACTTTACAAATTTCTTTGTTACTCAGCATTTCAAGGCCTTTAAAGATAAAGATTTTGGCAACAATTTGGGGTTTTTTTTTTTTTGGGGGGGAGTGGGGAGTGCTCAAGCTTGCAGCGCTCTCTTCGTTCCTATCCTTCCAAATGTTCCATATGATGGTGGTCAGAGGGGTCCTTCTTCCTAGAATAAGAGGTTGATAATAAAATTGTTTTGTTGCTTTATCATATTTGAAATAGGCCATAACATTTCGGATCCATATCAATCTTTCCAAATTAGAGAAGCCTACAATAACCCCACCCCTCCCCCCCGCAAAAAAATAAAAAATAACAAAAAAATAAAAAATAAAAATTCAATACTATATTACCATTTATAAATTGTCATTTTTTTTTTTTTTTTTTTACAAAATTGGAGAATCATTTACAACTTTTAAGGGTCATTTACAACCTTTGATCCTCAAAGATCATAACTCGGACCCACAAAAGTTATAAATAACCCTCCAAAAATTCTAAACAAACTAAAAAATTTGTATTTGAATTCACAAAACTTATAAATTTTAGTGGTACGTACAGTAATTCAATTTTTTTGATACGGTAATTTTCCCTTTCCAAATTTTGCTTTCTCATAGACATGGTGAACTGATCTAGGAATTCAAGTGTTCAAAATAGATCTAGGAATTTAAAAGTTATAATTTTGACCATAAAAATTATAAACAAACTCAAAAATTTGTATTTTAAATCACAAAATTTGTAAATTTTCGTGATACAGTAATTCAATTTATTTCGAAATGGTAATCTTCTCCTTCCAAATTTTTAATTGCAACTAATTGAGAAAACAAAATCTAGAGATTTCAATCAGATCCAAGTCAAAAGGATTAAACGAATTAAATGAAATAAAGGTAACATTGAATGTATGCAGAAACAATAAGAATAGAGGTGGGGAATGGGGATAGCATTGCTGAACTAATAAATGCTTTACTTTTTCAAAGCCTACACTTCTACTATATCAAACATTTATACTATTTATAAATGTCAACATATATAAAAAATTTTAATTTTTTATTTTATTCTTAATTATTATTATAAAATCAATAATACCTACATATTACTTTCATCTCATTTTTATTTCCTATACCTATTTAACTTTTAAGTTATTTTAAACTCTTTTATTACGGTATTTGAATCTTAAATTCTTTATTACTTTCATACACTTTTTAGTTCTTATACCTATTTGACTTCTAAGTTATTTTAGTTTTTTCTATTAATAGTATTTGAATTATAAATTCTTTTGCACTCTTTTGTTAGTAGTACACTTTTATACATTTTTTTATATTTGTATAAATAAAAAATTGTCTAAACAAATGATAGATTAGATACTCAAATAGGGGTAAAATAGATTAATAATTAAGATTAACAATAATTAAAATAAGAATTAATTATCCTACACATAATTTATGATTCAAATTAATTATATATATAATTTAAATTTTTTATAAAAAATTATTCTTTAAATATATTCATGTAACGGACGTCGAACAGAATGTTCTGGTAATTATGTGGGCCAGTCTCAACTGTTTTTTTTTTTTTTTTTTGATGAGGACGGCTTAATTGGTGGAATATATATATATGTGCCCTTGCCGACAGGGCTAATCTACAACTGCCATTCAATGGGCCCTACCACCGGCCATTTATCTCTTCCTTGTTTATGATTGGTGGATGGCAATAGTGATTTGCTTAATGATGGTGGGTCCAATTAAAGTTTTTTTTTGGGACGCTGTTCATGGCAAAATATGTGGTCCCGTATGGATAACATAATAAAATAAAATATAGGTCATGTTTAGTTTAAAATTTAAAAACCAAATCCTGTTTGCTTATAATTTTTGCTCTCAAATTTTAAAAAAAAAATAAGATTTAAAACACAAAAATAGAAAACAAGTTAAACTTGTTTTCATAGTTTTTTTTGAAAATTTCGAAAACATGGAGACAAGCTAAATGAGGTCGCAGCTTCGAGTCCCATTAGCAGCAAACAACGTCTTTTTTTTTTCCTTCCCCTCTCTCTCCACTTTGCCTAGCGTCTTCTTCTTCGGTTGTCTTCATTATGCTTCTTCGCACGTCTTCACTGTGCTTCAGATATGCCTATCTCTACTCTTTCTCCATTGTGTTTCAAATTTGCCACTCTCCCTCTTTTTCGCAACAACTACAGATTTGTGTGGGTCTGTGTATGCGTGTGTGTCTGCGCGTGTGTGTGTGTTTTGTGTGTGTATGTATGCCTGTGTGTGTGGTTGTTCTTGTGAGAAGTTAATGTGGAGAAAGGGAGACAGAGAAAGAAGACTCTAGACAGTGACTGCTGGAGAGAGAAGACGTGATTATTTTTGGTCAAAAATAATCAGTTAAAAATTAGTTTCGTGGATTATTGTACAAACAGATTTTATAATTTTTTGTTCTTTAAAATTATTTTCAAAAATATATAATTAAACAGGTTTTGTAATTTAAAAATTTTTAAAAACACTTTCTTAAAATTCTTCTCGAAAACTATTTTCGAATATTATTTTTTGATATACAAACCAAACATGCCCCAGGTTTCCTTCCTTATATTTTTTCCCTTCATGCACATCTTCAACTTTATTCCTTTAAAAATCATTTTTGATTCCTAGAAAATCAGAATAAAATAATTGCTAGTTTTTGCCCACAAAAACAGGTATATAAAAGCACATATTAGGGCACGACATTCCTACCATTACAAGATTTATAGCAGGACTAACGTGCATAGTTTCGTTCATGTATATTGAGAGTCAATTTTTGTAACTCGAACTATTGATGTCTAAATTATAATAAAACAATTTTGTTATTACTCTAATACCAACTCTTGTTATTACACAGTTGATAATGAATCATTAAAATATCAAAATCCAACAAATATATACTATCTTGCAAAATTTGACCCTGGTGGGGGTAACCTATCAATGCAAAGAAAAGTAGATAAAGATCCCTGAATGTTGGGAAATCCAGACCGTCCATCACTATGTCTTTCACGCATAGCCCAAGACTGACGAGAAAATATTCATTCGTGATAATGTGACGTGATATCATCAATTAATAATATTAAAATAAATAGAGTAATATTAGATGAATTTTAAAAATAGATTTAAAAATTAGACTTGATAATCTCAACTATTGAATAGGTAGTGGGTCCCAATATATGTCGAGACCTATAGTAAAATCAATGGTTATAATTATAAAGTTTAATTTTTAAGTCCACGTAGTATTGCTCAAATAAATAAGTATATGAATTTCACAAAAAATCAATAACTAACTTGCAATGTAAGCAAATAATTTTTCACTCTCCTACCATATAAATTCAAGTAGAGTTCATCTTTTTTATTTAAAATTTATTATTAATTAAAAATATCATGTTATCGATGGTAAAATAGTATAACCATTACCTTCGATATTTACTTAAGACCGAAGGCATTGACATACCATTACTCTATAAATGACACAAGTAAGCACAACCCACCATATATACCAAACTTACAAATATATCTTCTCGTTAACATAGTCATTCTCGCTACACTTTTGTAAGCACCACCACCATGGCTGAAGAGAAGAAGCACCACCACCTATTCGGCCACCACAAGAAGGATGAGGACAAGCCCATTGATGCGGTGCCCTACTCCGAGACCGGCTACTCCGAGCCCACCTATGCCGGCGACAGCATGGGTGGGTACCGTGAAAGTAAGATTGGTGGGTACGGTGAAACTAAGACCGGCTACTCCGAGACCACCTATGCCGGCGACAGCATGGGTGGGTACGGCGAAAGCAAGATGGGTGGGTACGGCGAAAGCAAGACCGGCCACTCCGATACCACCTATGCCGGCGACAGCATGGGTGGGTACGGCGAAACTAAGATGGCATCTGCTGAGAAAGCCCATGATTATGAGAAAGAGGAGGAGAAGCACAAAAAACGCGAACACAAGGGTGAGGTTGCCGCCGTCACTGCTGGTGCCTATGCCCTGGTAATGGTCTACACTTTTTTGAGTTCTATTCCCTTAGGGAGTGATTATAGCTTGTCACGTTTTATTTTTAGGTGAAGGTCTATACTACAAGGTTGGTGTAAGAAAACAATACTGAGTCATGTAATATACCTATATTTATGACTAAACACGGGTTAGTTAATAGTTCCTAGGTCAAATTTTTATGAGGGTAGACTAGTATAAGATGATCCTGCCATCCACCTTTTCGGAAGGGTGTAGATCAATCACATCGAGATCAAGTTAGAAGTAAAATAATAACAGTCAAAGGCATACCTTACAACTAAACAAAATTGAGATGATTCTTCACTAGATGAATGTCATAACTTTGCTTTTATGTTCAATAAATTTGGTGAATGTCATAAAGTTACTTTTTCATATCATAGTCTTATCCTAAAACTCGCACGGTTATTTAGGATAACTGCGCGAGTTTCTGTTTGGACCTGCTCATACAATAATTTGGCACTTTGACAGTGAAAACATTTCTGTGAATTGATCCACAAACATTTATTTTGGGTATGGGAAATGGTCGCAATTATGCACAAGTCACAGATGTACACAATCAATCCTACAAATCCTGATCCCACAACATTCATATTTGTCTGTCCCTCATAGTATATTTTTCTGTGGTAAAACCAGTATGAGAAGCACAAGGCAAAGAAGGACCCGGAGAACGAACAAAGGCACAAGATAGAGGAAGAAATTGCAGCAGCAGCAGCAGTTGGATCAGGTGGATATGCATTCCACGAGAAGCATGAGAAGAAAGAAGCAAAGGAAGATGAGGAAGAGGTTGAAAGAAAGAAGAAACACCACTTCTTCTAATTGAAAGTGCCCTTCATGTCTTTCCTTTCCTGTGGATTTGGGTTATCTTTATTAGCAAAGACCCAACTACCCTAAATAATTGTAATTGTGTTTGTTTGTGTGTGCGTGTCTCTCTGTGAGTATGAGTTTGCTTTCAGGGTCCATGTGGACCTAGTAAATCAAAGCAGTCTTAGTTAACTAATTCTGTATTTATAACCATTGTGGGTAATAATATGGTTTGAAATGTGCATATATGTGTATTTTTTGTGAATTATTTAGCTTTTGTCTTGAATGACAAGTGGCAATCTTTATTCACAACCCATCAACCCGATCAGTTCATTCATACATTTGTGACATTAATAACTTACATCTAAATAAGAATTGATTAATATCATCGAAATTAATTATATAAACATACTGAAACAATTTGAAAATGACTTTTTATCCGCAATATATCCTCCAATCTAAAAGACGTATGAGTATTGTTCCATTAATGAAAAAATAAATCCATCTTAGAGAACATAGATAGTAGATCAAACGATACTTGAGAATAATAATAGTAAACGAGTGGGTTGACCGAGTTACGAACGGGTCAATAATGAGTTCGATGTAATACAAGTTGAACATTACCAACTCCCGCACTCCATATCATATGGATTCATAGCCAATTTGGTTAAATCCCTTACCCCCTCATAAAGTATCGTGGGCCCGATGCAATCATGGCATTTTTTAATGGATCCTTATCTTTTATGTTGGGGAACTTGCATCTTGATGGAGATGGGTTGATAGTAAGATTTATTGAAAGATTCAAGAACAACCAGATCAACAGTTTTAAAACAAACTAAGCAACCGTTGACTGTGAGGCACAAAATTTATAATTTTTTTTTATTATCTCTATAAACCCGCCCCTATAATCAACTCTATACTCATTTTAACCTAATAATTTATCAATGCATTAAAATAATTTCTCAAAAATAATTAAATATAAAATTTCTAAGAAAAATGGCAAGAAATTCAAATTTAAAGTAATTTGAGAGATATAGTAATGGGTACCAATATAGAAATCTTAATAGCAGTTTGAGTAAATGTGACGTAAAATAACAGCAATATGGTAGTAATCAATTGCTTGAAGAATAGCATGGATTAGTGGTGGTGCATTGCTTCAAAATATTCATGTAACTTTTAGTGTCCAGGTGGGTGGTGAGAATTGATTGGATGTTTGTCAGGTAAATAATTCAAAATTTATAAACTTGAAAAGGACGGAAGGAGTGCTTTTGAAGCAATCTCCCAAAACAAAACGACTTTTTTAAGGACAAGTTACTTAATTTGGTATCTAATACATTTCGTTAGTTACGAGTTCTAAGGTCGAGTGGATCCAACTTTCAATTCAATTGACTTTCCCAAAAAAAAAAAAACCTTTCAATTGGTCTGCTATAATTAATTAGGTCCAAATAGTATTTTTTAAGAGATGATAAATGAGAATAAGTTCGTTCAATTTCCGGTTGAAAAATTTGACAAGATGTTAAATTTTCAATATTAAAGAACACAAATGAAATTGTTCTTAAAAGTCATAGAGTTTTCAGATATTGTGACAAACGGGTTCATAGATCATAGAGATCAAGCAACTCACACAAAAGCCCAAAAAGATGATTTGGGAAGTAATCGGAACAAAGATAATAGAGTGTTGATGTACATTTATAAAGTATTTGATTCATCAATTTATGATAAGATTGTTCATGTTTTGATAGTAAGGGCGGCATGAGATGTCTTGATCAATTGTTATATTAGACAAGATAAAGTTTAAAAGGTTCGGTTGCAAACCCTATGCAGATAGTTTGAGCTTATTCAGATGAAAAAATTCGAAAGTATATTTGATTATTTATTGCGGACGTTAATTATTGTTAGTCAGATGAGAGCCAACGACGATGATGTGAAGGATTTTTAGGTTATGGAGAAAATTCTTTGAACCTTATTAATGAGGTTCGAGTATATTGTCACAGCTATCATAAAGTCAAATGATCTTGATTCCCTACAATTGATGAGTTGATGGGTTCTTTACAAGCCCATTAACAAAGATTGGATGAGAAGAAAGAGATTTTAAGAAAAAAAGTGTTGCAAACTTAGACGAATTTCAAGAAGGAAAATGAGGTGTCTCACAACAAATCCCAATTAAATCAGAAATATTTGCATTCAAATAACAAAGGTACGTGGCAAAACAGATCTGGTGGAGAAAAAAAATAAAGGTAGTAATTAGGGTAAACAACGTCATAAATCCAAGATCAAGTGCTACTGAAAGGGTTAGCCCTCGTGATTACACGTGATATGACATTAAATGTGTTCACGTGGTGATGACAAGGCAAGACACGTGATGATGAATTCTCTATTAAGTATTTTAACCAAGCTGAGCTAATGAGAGGATCGGTAAGCAAAGAAGAAGTTCGGTTCTCTTTATGACCAAACTCATCAATCTTTTCAGCTAAGCAAGGAAAGAGCTCGGCTTGTACTAGGCCGAGTTTATTAAAGTGTTCGGGAAGGCGATTGAAGAGAATGGTTTGTGTCAAATCAAGTCCCTAAAACTGTTCGGCAAATATCAAATGTGCTCGGTGTTCGATATGTCCGAGCTGTTCAAAACGATAGATAAAAAGATAAAGATTCGCCTATAACTTAGGCAATTGGATAAACGAATCAACGAAATTGTAGATATCAGGAGGACTTGTTGGAAAAATATCAGAAACTTTCCAAACTGAATCACTGAATTGAAGGAGGGTGTGCCACCTTGAATCAAAAATCACGAAAACCCTATGGGGATGACTATCTATAAAAAAACAGAAGAATCCAAGGTGAAAGGTAGGCTGAACTCTCCCTGTCTTCTTCCATTAGTTTCAGTACCCGCCTTCGATCGAAGCACTTCGATCTTGGGCAGTTTGTTCGTGTTGCAGGAAAGAGAGTGGGAGATCCAAGTTCAGAATTCATCTAATATCGAGAATAATCATTCAATATTCCGGAAAGAGGTATCATCAATTTTTTGCCTCTTACATTTTTTGGCTCCATCTGTAGGAAAATTTTTCATCTTTCGCAATAAAAAGCTACGATGTCAAAACGTTGAAGTGCAATTGGATCACCTATAGGCATTTTTGCCTTGGGAAACTCTGATCCTGCATCCTTTCCGTCTGACAGCAATGCGCGATTGCAGGTAAGAAGAAACCCATCTAGACCCCATGAAGGTAACGAGGTGTCCTGTGCCAGTTTTAAACCCTTGAAGAATCAGAACCATCAAATTGAATATAGTGGTGAATCCTTTCGTGCTGAGGGGGAAAACCACTCCCTGGCTAAGTTGGTTCAATCCCTGCAGGATAGACTTGATGCTCATGACAAGATTTTCAAGAAATCTTATGCTAGAGAAAAAGATCTGATCAAAGAAAACGAAGGGCTGAAAGCCAGGTTAAAAGAGACGAACAGGAAAGAAAAACGTGTGAGAAAAAGCCGTCGGGAAAGTCCTAAGAGGAAGCCTGACAGAATCAAAAGTGTTAATGAAAACCATCATCAGTAGAAAAAACCCTGGATCTAGGAGGAGGTTGCATGGAAATAGTACATCACCGAGGAGCTCAACAATCGCTTGAAGAGACCAGAGCAGAGCAACAGGAGAATATGAAGACGGTTTGAAGTCATCTCCATTCACAGCTTGGATTGAAAAGGGAAGAATCCTAAGCAAATTCGTCGTCCTGAACTTCAAGCTATATGATGGAAAGACTGACCCAGCCTCACACATCAGACATTACAGACAGCTAATGACCATTCATCGAAGAAACGAGCCCCTGCTCTGCACTATCTTCCCTAGTAGTCTTGGGGAGCAGCCATGAAGTGGTTTGACAACCTACCAAAGGAAATGATTGATGGATGGTCTCAGTTAGCCGAACAGTTCACAACTCAGTTCATTACGAGCAGTAAGCAGTCGAAGGATGTTGGGGCACTACTGACGCTAAAGAAGAAGAATAACGAAAGCCTGCGAGAGTACACTCATCGCTATTGAAAAACTATGAATGAGGTCAAAGGGTGCAATCCAGAGATTGCAGCTGCAGCTTTCAAGATCGGATTGTCGAAGGAGAACCCTTTATACCAGTCGCTCACAAGAAGGCCAACTATGGACCTGGAAGATTTGATGGCAAGGATTGAAAAGTATGCCAAAGTTGATGACGACTTATCCAGGGAGGTGGTTAAGGAACATCTGAACAGAAGGTAGTTCGACAGGAACAAGCAAACTGAGCCAAACAGAGAGGGAGGAAGGAAGAATGAGAAGGATGAATATCCTCAAAAGTCCACATTTCTTGGGGTAAATATGTTGTTTAAGGAACCCATATACAAGATACTAAGTCAGATCAAAGCAAAGTCGTTTTTCAAGTGGCCGAATAAGTTAACAGGAGATCTTTCTAAAAAAAGTCCAAGCTATAGGTGCTCATATCACAGGGATGTGGGCCATATGACTGAGAACTGCCGATATTTGAAGCAGCATTTGGAGGAGCTTGTCCAGGCTGGACATCTCGCCGAGTTCATTGAAGGTGAGAAAAAAGCCGATGGAGGGAGGACCCAGCCAAAAAGGGACTACAACACTCCAGTAAGGGGTGATTGATGTGATCCATGTTGCCACCAATCCACAGATGTCCATAAACAACTCTACTCGGGCTTATATTCAGAAAGCTGTCAAGAAGAGGGAAGTCTATGAGTTGCGGATGACTCCGGAGGTGTCCAACAAGAGAATCAAGATGGAAGAATCAGTCGAAGCAGTCTGTTTAACCGAGCAGGACTTGGTCGGAGTTCACCAACCACACAACGACACCTTAGTCGTTACGCTTCCGATTGCAAATTTTGATGTGAGAAGGGTTCTGATTAATCCGGAGAGTTCATTAGAAATCATGTATGAGGATTTATTTGAGAAGCTGAGTCTTAAGAAAGAGGATCTTAAACCCTAAAATACTCCACTTATTGGCTTTAGTGGTAAAACAATTCTTGCTAGGAGAAATATCACGCTGCCTATAAAGACGGGACTGATTTGTGTCATGATTGAGTTCTTGGTAGTGGATACGGTCTCGACATATAACGCAATAATGGGTTGGTCCTGGCTACACAAAATGAAGTTGTACCATCAACGTACCATCAAATGCTGAGATTCCCTTCAGCTGAAGGGGTAGTAAATATCTGAGGAGACCAAGTTAGTGCCAGAACTTGTTTTCTAGCCTCAATCAAACCCAAGGAAGGGGTTGAAGCTTGAGAAAAAAGCTTAGTGTCCAAGGAGGTGAAATAACAAAT